ATGTCGAAAAACTGATCCACAAAAATACAACTAAAAAATCATTTGTCTCTGTAAGAAAAGTTTCGATAAAAGTCACCAAATCACCACCAACCATTGAGAGAGTCGGAAACGGCTAGGATACGTTACTCAAAACAAATTTCAACTCGGGTATTAACTAATCAACAGAAATTCAGAAGAAAGTAATTCGTGAAAACTGAACTTCAACACAAAAACTTTAAAAATGGGAACATGCGATAATATTTGATGACAGTCGTTTCGGAGTTTTTCCTGATAAAAAATGGTGCTGGCGACCAAAGAATCTTTTAGCTCGATTACGATTGTTCAACAAAACAAACAACAGAAACAAACGTTTATTTAAAGAAATTCAACTACTTTTTTCCAAAACACTGTAACATAACACAACTATTATGGTATGGGGAGCAATAGGAAAAAAATTAAGAGTGATTTATTGCTTTGTCCATTTCGAATGAACTCTTCAAGTTACAAAAATGCTTTCAGAAAACAATTTTTTTGAAAAATTGAAAAAAAAGAAAAAGAGCAAGTTAGTCCACTTTCAACAAGACGGTACACCTCCACACTGTTCGAAAACATCAAAAAGTTATTTTAAAGAAAATAGAACAAGAGTACTGCCATGGCCTCCTGCTTCTCCGGATCTCTCATTCATTGAGCATTTATGGGGAATCATGGATAAACAATTGAGAAAAGATTATCCAATTATCCACACCGAAAAAAAAGTTGTTTAGCGCTCTGAAAAAAAACATGGGCCAAAATTCCCCAGACAACTATTGATAATCTGATGAACTCGATTAAAGCACGCTTTGAAATGTGCCGCGGAGAAAGAGGTGGACCAATTGGACACCTTTTAGATTTCAAATAATTCAAAAGTTCAGAAAATTTGAACTGTTATGATAATGTTAATGCAAAACAAAAATAAATGTTGTGAAAAATCTTAGGTAATTTAGATCTTTTTTAAAGGTTTATAAAGATAATAATAAATTGAATTTTATTTCGGAATCGAAAATATTTTTAGAAAGCCATTTCCCCCGTTTTTTAAATAGTTGACCTTTCAAAAAAAACAACCGGTTCCGAAAAAATAATTCCAGTTTAAAATTATTATTTTTGTTAATTTGTGCGGCCGAGTGGGTTTGCAAAAGAATTGTTAGTCATTATATTAAAAAAAACCAAAAAACCCAAAAAAATTTTTTACAGATTTTATCCAAACAAAAACAATAACCAAAATTTCATTTTTATTTTTTAAACAAATTTTTTTTGCGTCTCGTTCTTTTTAATCAGTTAAATAATAAATAATATGATATTGTAAATAAACAAAATCATAGTGTAAATGTAAAAGGGTTTTTTGACAAATGAAAGTTTTAAAACAAAATAAAGACCTGCACTAAGCGCCATACCTGCACTGGCTTACGTGGCAATACCTTATCACAAAAAACATATTAAAAATGAGAGAAAATAATTAAATATAAAGAAAAGTTGAAGGAAAAAAATAATTGTGATAGTTGAAATTTCATCCGATAATATATGAAGAAAAGAATGTATTAAAAAACAAAAATCAATCAATAGTTCGCTTAAATAACAGACAGATTTGAATTTATACAATTTATTAAAGTAATTACAATATAGAATGTTTTTTTTGTTTCATTATATATAAAGTAATAATAAAAAAATGTGTAAATGTAAACATTTTTTTATTTATATAAATCAAATAAAAAACGACATAACAGTGAGAATCAATTATATTCAATCGTGTTTTAAAATTCAG